TATCTCAAATTAATATTTTGATTAACAGAAAAACAAAATACATATTTTTAAAATTTTATTTGTTTTAATTTTTTGATTTTCCTATGGGAGCTATAATTAATTAATCCCGTAATTCCATAGTATTTAAATATTACCAAATCCAAATAGCAAGCAAAAAAAATTGAAAAACAACAAATGCACTGACGGACATGGGTAGATCGACTCTCCTGGTAATGCCGATCAAGAATATATATATTCTTTATAGGGTCGGAAATGTCTCCCTCACCACGTTGCAAACTTTTGACTGAAGTTATAATACCCATTGCAAGTATATAAAAAATAAGAAAAAAGCTTGTACATCCCAACTCTTCACTTACCTCAAACATGGATAAAATTGTGGCATTTCTTTCTTTATTTCCGACGATTTGCCAAGGCGCTGCCAAAAGATCTGAAGAAGTTACCCGACGGAGCTCATCACGGAGCCATATACTTTAGTTTGGGTCAGTAATTGAAATGTAAAAATGTGTACGGATGATGATCAATTTTAGTATTTTTCATATTGTTTTGGACCCTTTGGATAAAATGTTCATAATAGAGTTATCGTATAGACTTTTGTTTTCGTGAGCCATTTGATCTGTTTCTGTTCTTCAAGTTATAGGTCACGTGGCTCATCACTCTTTTCAATAATTTCTTATGCAAGAAACTATGAATAAATTCTAGTTAATCTACTTGGCACAGAAAAGTTAAGACGACCTCCCATCAATCTATCAATCTCACCACGACGAAGATTATAAATGAAAACAGGGCCAAGCAGTAATAGTAGTCTACTAGAATAAAAAGGTAAGATACAATTTGCATCCTGCTTAGGCGACGTAAGGCAAAAAGTATTCATTTTTATACTGATTCAATGCGGTTAATATATATTCCAGACGGGAGACCCATACTCCAGAAACGAACGGACCAGAGAAATAAATAAAGTCTTAGTGACATAAGGATAATCGAATTCTTCTGATCACCTTTTAATACAACCAAGCACGCCCCTGGCTTTATTAACCATGCACGAAATATGGTCAGACAACGTTAGCTTACACTTCGATCCGTTTAAGTTAAGTAAATTATCCCGGCACCAGTTTTGAAAGTTATCTAGTTCGGGTTGTAAGTGTATCCTTATAATGCAGGCATAATTTAACAACATCTGCGTGAATGACTTACAGTGGAAAGTGTAATTTATAATATAACAAGAAAGGAAAGCTAACTTCAACAACCCGAAATTTTAAAACCCCTCAAACCTTTACAAAAAAAAAAAAAAAAAAAAAAAAAAAAAAAAAAAAAAAAATAAAAAAAAAAAAAAAATTTTAAATTTTTAAAAAAAAAATTTTTAAAAAAAAAAAAAATAAAAAAAAAAAAAAAAAAAAAAAAAAATTTTTAAAAAATAAAATAATAAAAAACAAAAAAAAAATAAAAAAAAAAAAAAAATTAAAAAAAAAAAAAAAAAATTAAAAAAAAAAAAAAAAAAAAAAAAATATAAAAAAAAAAAAAAAAAACAAAAAAAAAAAAAAAAAAAAAAAAAAAAAAAAAAAAAAAAAAAAAAAAATAATAATAATATAAAAAAAAAAAAAAAAACAAAAAAAAAAACCAAAAAACAAAAAAAAAATAAAAAAAAAAAAAAAAAAAAAAAAAAAAAAAAAAAAAAAAAAAAAAAAAAAATAAAAAAATAAAAATAAAATTTTTAAAATTTTTATAAAAAATTTTATAAAAAAAAAAAAAAAAAAAAAAAAACAAAATTTAAATATAAAAAAATTTAAATTTATTAATAATTTTTTTATAATAAAAAAAAATTATAAAATAAAAAAAAAAAAAAAAAAAAAAAAAAAAAAAAAAAAAAAAAAAAAAAAAAAAAAAAAAATAAAAATATTATTTATTTAAATTAAATAAATTTATTAGTTATACTTTATAGGGTCTCCTTGCAGAATATTCTGTAAATTATATTCTCCAAAACTATTCATATGATGCATTCTTAATACCCATAAAAAATACCAGCTTCCTAACTTTAAAAACACCAAAGTTATGGTATTTCCAATCGTTCAGTTATATGGCATCTATAGGATATAGTCGACCGATTCTCTACAAACACCAAAGTTATAGTCGGCCGATCCTTATGAAATTTGGTAGGTCGGATTAATTGGCCCAAAGATAAAACCCATAGAGAGTCTCAACTTCCTAACTCTACAAACACTAAAGTTATGGCATTTCCGATTAATTGGCCAAAAATAAAACCCATAGAAAATCTCAACTTTCTAACTCTACAAACACTAAAAATTAAGGCATTTCCGATCAATCAGTTGTATGGCAGCTACTACGTGCAAAGGAAAGAAGGGTGAGTGCAAAGTTTCAATTCGATAGCTTTAAAACTGAGAGACTAGTTTGCGTAGAAACAGACAGACGGACAGACGGACGTGCTTATATCAACTCAGGAGGCGATCCTGATCAAGAATATATATACTTTATAGGGTTGGAGTTGTCTCCTTCACTGCGTTGCACACTTTTGACCAAAATTATAATACCTTCTGCAAAGGGTATAAAAAGAAGCGGAAAAATACGACTCGTGTGAAGGATAGGCTTTACGAGTAGTTTTTATTTGGATAATGAAAAGAAAATGGATTGAATGGGTTATAAAAGAAAATACAAATAAATTGAATGGCTGATTTTTGATCTGCACGTCGTCTGCCGTTATATCGATATTTAATATGGCCGTATTTTTAGAACACGACCTCAACAGCGCTGTTAAGTTAACAGAAGTTCACATGTAAGACACCGGAGGCAAGACGAAGAATTTTAAAAAGAGAATTTTTAATAAGGACCCTTTTTGACCTGCCACTCACTTAACTTCCATATAAGAAGATATACTGGAAACAAGAATTAAGTGATTTACAAAGTCGAATGCTTTACGGGAGTCAGTGTAAGTGGCGTCTGTTTGAAAAATTATTTTTAAAGCCCTATATCTTTGATTATTTAAATCCGTGTTGACACGGATTGCAGCTCCTTTGTACTGCAAATGAGGACTAATAATTATTTCAAAAAGCTTAGGGATTTTTACTGGCCTCCAACTTACCTTTCTTGTGAAGAGGAAAACAAAATGATTCCTTTCAATAATAGGAATGTGGAAAGTTTTAAGAGAAAAGGTGAATACTTCGTGGAGGGGCTTCGTTTGCACAGGGCTTCAGCGCAATACCTATGCACGCACCCAGGAATACCATCGGGCCCTAGCGAATAAACAGGCTTAACACGAAGAAGATCCAAAGGAAGAGACAGAACATGAGGTTTGACGTAGATATGGTGTAAGAATAAGGCTGTGTTAAATTATCTGAAGTCTTATTCTACTTCAGATCATTTAAAGCCTTTTTCGTTTCAAAAAATGAGTAAATATAACGGCTGTTGCCTGATCCGTTAAGTTTTCAAACGCATACGCTTGGTGTTAACAAAGTTATAAAGCTGTTAGTGGTCGAAAAGTGGACTTTGCAAAGGGTTACGTAATTAAGGATTAAGCACGGTTAATCTTGACCGAGCACTTAAATATCTTCCAAAATTAGATTGAGATCTGATACTTTTATATTTCTTATAAAGTCAGAACTTTACATTTCTTAAGTGTGTCAACTCCCGGTGATTTAATGGAGATTGACGGATAATACCACGGAACACACGAATTACAAAATAAAATAAACATTAAGGTCATTTGATTATACAATAGACCACTTAAAGCCAGAAATAAAATTATTTGTCCTCAACAATGTATTCTTTTGGTTGATTTTTCTAATTTTTCTTTTATTACGGTACCCGTCTCGATTGTCATTTCAATATTAGGATGATATGGATCTTTCAGGTTGTTTAAGTGGTGCTACCCTGGGAAGAAACACACCTTCAGGATTCGATACAAAACTCAATTCAAGTAGCCGACATGGTTTACTTGAGATAACGATACGACTTTGGGGAGCACCTCCATTTCTAAAATGGACGCTATACACTGTGTACTTACCTGAAAATAAATTTCGGAGCGTGGGATTTCCGACTTTTTGTAAACACGATTTAATAAGATGAAAAGGAAAGGCTACCAGAATACAATTTAGTTAGCTTGCTACGCTTCTTCGGTTCTGTTAGGAAAAAACTTTGAACTTTTTTGCCACCATATTTTCCGGCCATAAGTCGCCAGAGCATATGGCTTCAAAAGGCTCATTTGGGACCGTGGTCGTAAAAGATGAAATGTTCCTTGCGTAAGAAAACTTAATCTTTTACACCTTTATTTTTCACCACTTTTGTTATCGGCTTTAGTTATTTAGTTTATTTATTATGCAACTTGGACGAATTTCTAGTAATTGATTTTTAGTATGCGTCAATTAATGATTGGAAAGCCGCCTACAAGGAAAATAATTGATAAAATTTATTTATTACACGATTTCATAGATACTACATATTATATACATACATAACATTTTGAATGAATGTTCTTCGGCAGATCATGTTATGCTTACATTAATATACTGTTAAAAGCAATGCATACTTTTTGGCTTTATAAATATAATATATTAATATTTTTGAAATTTTGTTTATGTAAATACTAAAATAAAAAAAATAATTATTTTCAAACCAATATTTAATTTTAATTAAAATAACATTTTTATATTTAATATAGAAAAAATTATTAAGTTTTTGGAAATGTTTCTATTCTTTGATTTTTTGTGAAATGCCGTCTTGTGAATTCATATCTTACTTGTGTTTATTATTTAATTAGCTAAGGCAATTTCCAGCATTAAATCTTTGTTCTAGCTACCGAAATTCCCAAGCACGCCCCAAAAATGCTGACCTTGTGATACAAATACTATTGCTATGCTAATATTTTGTTAGTTGTTTCTATTTAAATTTGTAGGGCGATTCGTCGATCTTGGGGTAGTCAAATAGTATCTTTTAGGTCAGACAATTCGCAAGACGTTTGCCAAAATTTGGTATATAAGCTGAAGGAAAAAGCTCATTCAGCATCGAAAGCATCTCAAGCTACAATCAATCATTAAATATGCAGTCTAACAAAATCTTATATCTGTTCTTCGGTGAGTTTGAGAAGAAAGACGGAAAAGGAAATAGAAATTATCTAACAATTATTCTTTAATTTAGGTGTCCTGGCTGTTGTGATCGCTGCAAGTCTGTCCGCGGAGGCTGTGAACGAGGTAAACGATGTGATCAGCGACCGTCGTTTCCGCTGGGAATTTTCGGAAGATTCCGATGAGTCTGATGATGATTTGCAAGACGATGACGATAATGGCGATCAAGATGGTAGCGATGGCAAATCAGGCGAATTTGAAACATGGCAGATCGAGGATTATATACCAGAATCCAATGAAACTAAGAAGAGCGCTTCCAATGAACCTTAAACAATATCTCATATATCTTTCAATAATTGTTTTTATAAATAGTATTTGTTTTTATAATGAAAAGATTAAGGAAAAAAAAGATGTTCAAGAAAAATGTATTATTAAAACCCTCAAAAGATACAAATAGTACAAAGGCATACAAAAATCATGACTTGATAATTTGTATTTGTTTTTATGGAAGAAAAGAATAAATAAATACAAGAAAAACACCGGAAAGCTGAAGTTTATACACCTTTGCAGCTGTTACAAAAATTAAATATTCTATTTTTTGATTGCGATGGTTAAAAAAAGGAGCAGTTCCTATGGCAGCTATATGACATAGTCGTCTGGTTTTTGAAAAAGTTAAACCGTAATTCTTAAATTGTTAAAAACTTATATATTTCGGACTATATGGATATGTGTTAAGAAACAACGAAGCTGTAATTTTATTTACCTTTTTCCGATTGTTCCCATGTCAGCTATATGAACAGTCGTACGATTTTAATATTGTTCACATGCTATATGATATAGTTGGCTGATCCGGCCCTTCCCGTTTTAAGCTTTGAAAAAAAAAAATAAAAAAAAAAAAAAAAAAAAGAAAAGAAAAAAAAAAAAAAAAAAAAAAAAAAAAAAAAAAAAAAAAAAAAATAAAAAAAAAAAAAAAAAAAAAAAAAAAAAAAAAAAAAAAAAAAAAAAAAAAAAAAAAATTTAAATTTTAAAAAAATAAAAAAAAAAAAAAAAAAAAAAAAAAAATAAAAAAATTATAAAAAAAAAAAAAAAAAAAAAAAAAAAAAAAAAAAAAAAAAAAAAAAAAAAAAAAAAAAAAAAAAAAAAAAAAAAAAAAAAAAAAAAAAAAAAAAAAAAAAAAAAAAAAAAAAAAAAAAAAATTTTTAAATAATTTAAAAAAAAAAAAAAAAAAAAAAAAAAAAAAAAAAAAAAAAAAAAAAAAAAAAAAAAAAAAAAAAAAAAAAAAAAAAAAAAAAAAAAAAAAAAAAAAAAAAAAAAAAAAAAAACCCCCCCCCCAAAAAATAAAAAAAAAAAAAAAAAAAAAAAAAAAAAAAAAAAAAAAAAAAAAAAAAAAAAAAAAAAAAAAAAAAAAAAAAAAAAAAAAAAAAAAAAAAAAAAAAAAAAAAAAAAAAAAAAAAAAAAAAAAAAAAAAAAAAAAAAAAAAAAAAAAAAAAAAAAAAAAAAAAAAAATATTTTTTTTTTTTTTTTTTAAATTTTTTTAAAAAAAAATTTTAAAAAAAAAAAAAAAATAAAAATGAGGGTCTAGTTTTCATAGAAATGGACAGGCGGACGGACGGAAGGGACGAACATGGATAAATCGACTTGCCTGTTGATGCTGATCAAGAATATACATCATAGGCTTCGGGTCGGAAATATGCCCTTCACTGCATTTCCAAATTTTTACTGAAATTATAATACCCTCAGCCAGGGTATAAACAGAACAAAAAGTAAGTCGAATTTCTATTACCCCCAAAAGATACTTTAGTAACAAGAGCATCCAAAAAGAATGCTCTTATTACTGGATACAATTACAAGCATGTTTTGTATAATTAATTTTATTTAACATAATTTAAAGTATGTATAATTCAATTTTAATATGGTTTACATACAATATTTATAGTTTTATTTTGCATTAATTTAAACATTTTAGTATTATGCATTTAAATATATTTAAGGTATATTTAAACTATGACTAAACATAAATTTTACATGATGTTCTTTGTCACCTCGCTAGTGATGTCGTTCAATAATTTATTTGCAATTTCTACTTAGTTGAAACCAAATATTTTGGAATGATGGGAAACAGGCAAACAATTAATAGGATATAGAAAACGCAAAACGCTTTTAACACAGTATACATTTACATACATTTAATACAAAGTTGTTTTTATAATTTACTTTTCTTTAAAGGGGTCCTCTGATGGAATAATTTGTATTGCTCTAGAAAGAGATCAGAGCTAATCGGATTTAAAAACACTTGATATTCATTTGCGTTGATTATTGAACAATTGGAAATTGCACATGATGATGTAGATTGCCTGCTGATGTTATCTTGGTTAGGTTTGCCCTTCAAATGTTGCGTTTTGAGTCTTGTTTTCTCACGGCACACCCAGCTTTCCGGTTCTCAAATTTTCCGATCAGTTAGCTTTCGGATCACACATTGCTATCTGTGCCCACGGCGCCGGTGAAGGAAAAGGGCTGGGCATTATTCACAATCCCCGCTCGATCGTTGGTCTGGGCGGGCGTTGTACCTCCAAAGGTTTGTTGAGCAGCTGCTCGCATATCCTCAGAGGATGCTCTATCGAAATTAATAAGGAAAAACGTTAGATTTTCGAAGTTTTAGGTTACAAAACTAGAATACGAAATATTCGACTTTACAAGTGCTGAACTAAAAACTGTGATTTTGCCTACATAGAACCAAAGGGTCGAAAGAACAACCAGAACGCTGCATATTGTATACAAACCAATTATTTTCTAAAACAACAAAAAAAAAACTAAAGTAGCATTAAATAAAATATTACATTTTCAACTTTTTCAAGAATACCGGTATCTACAGGAATTAATTTTAAGATATTTTTACAAAAATAAGTGATTACACTACTCCAAATAATCAAATAAATTGTACATAGAAAAAGTCTATAAAAATATAATGAGTGTAATATTTTAAGGGACTACGATACGAAAAGCTCAAAATTTATTTGCCTTTAGTGATATCTTGGACGCAGCAAAGTGATTAGCATAAATCATTTGTAGTTTATCGATGTTGGCCGCCGTTGGTTGTACTGAGCTTTAACGGCAGGTTTCTGGACAGTTTTCATGTAGCATGTTCAAAGTCTTTGATATTTGACTCATGCGCAATCAATTGTTAACGAAATATTTTACATGTTTTAATTTTTAGTGTTGCGTTCATCGATTAACAAATTTTAACAACTTTATTATAATTAGGTGAGATTCCCAGTTGATTACGAAAATTATATTCTAACAAGTTCTTGCGAGTACTTTTTTGAATAATGTTAAATTAGGTTATGACAAATAAAAAATAAAATAACTTATATTTATATAAATAATTTTTGGAATGCTTCTTATGGGAAGGAAGCCAAAAGGCAACAATATAAATAATTTAAAACGACTTTCTCAGACTTTCCAAGTTAAAAGGGTTGGAATAAATACTTATAAATAACTTAGGTGTAATAAAAAAATGCACATATTTTTAGCGAACAAGAAATCATACGAAATTCGAAAAAGAAAACCTATTAATCAAGTGATTGTCTAAAATTAATCATTTTTAAGACTGCTTCAAATTGAGATGGACACGTTTTTGGTTTACAACATTTAAAAAATAGAACTGGTAAATCTTCAACTTGTTGTATATATATATTTGTATGCTGATTATGTTCAATTTCAATATGTGACTATCTTGCGAGCAAATCGATTCTCAAACAACGTTTAACATTTAATTGTATGGTTTACATTCAAGCAAAGCATATAAAGTTAATACTTTCTGAGTTGTACATATTGCTCTATGTTCTCGCTTTTCACTTGTTCATATCATCAGTGGCTTTTTATTAGCTTTAGCTGTGTGTGAGAGTGTGTGGAAGCTGTGGTTTACTTATAGGTTTCTCTGCATTCGGTTAGCTTTCAAATATAGTTTCTCACTAAAAATATATGCTTGCTGCAGTTCGACATGTGTATTACTTTACGTTACGTTATTGTTATCAGTAGTTTCTCTATGCATATATTTAACTGTAGTTTTTAACAACACCAACCGCTCGACGAAAAACATGAAAAAATTGAATACGAAGGTCATGCAAGAAGGGACGAATGACGAAAATGCATTTGCCCAAAATATACTTTGATTACTAACACTCTTGGTTTCAACAATAATGAGAATTTCGTAAAATTTCTTTTTGTAATTGGTGGGGTGTTCTGTATTCTAGTTCTCTGATGCTCTATACAACGCTGTTTAGTATTGACTTTTTTTTCTCCTAGTTACATTATTCCTTGGAACGAACACTAAAAACTAGGCGCCGTAAAATATTTGTTACTCGATCAATTTTAGCATCGTTTTCATTTCTAGTAGACTGTGTTGTGTGTGGGTGTATCTGAGTAGCTGTATCTTTATCGTTATCTGTATCTGAGGGTGTGAGAGTTGTGGTTTTTTGGCAGTAACTAATCGCGCGTCTAGGAATTTATGTGGGGCGCCAGACGTCGGGATCTTCCATGAGTGTGATATGCTGATCGCCGCCCATCTGCATCTGCCCGCCCGCCTGACTGCCGGCCATCTGTGTGGGCGATGTGGCAGCGGCGGCCATGTCCTCCCGAGAAGCTCTACGTATTATTTTATATTTATTTAAGCGTTTTCACAGTGGCAAGCACATTGTGGGAGAATAGAGAAAACATTTGGTTTCGATTAGCAAAAATGGATTAGCTAACACAAATCGCTCGCTCCATTGCCTGCTTAGCAACTAATCTAAACCCCCAAAGGTCTGAATAAAAATACCCTCAAAAATTTAGAAAATCGCCATAAGTAGTTGTTAAGATAAATAAAAAGGTTTATTTGTTACTGCGGACTTTTTTTTACAAGAAGTTCTGCAAACATGATGTCTCGAAGTGATTTAATTTTAAAATGAATCTGAAGCGCGACTTACGCGAAAAAGTAAATAGATGCTAGCTATTGATGTTGGCCTCTTAAGCAGGAATCCAAATTTTGATTTGATCACAGTATTTGCATATTACGATGGATCATTCGTATATTTCGAGATGGTTTGAAGGATTGGCAAGTTCCTTTTGTAAATATGAAACATAAATATAAGGTATGTGTTTTGGAACCATCGAATTATATGACTGCAACTCTTTAAACAGCAGCGTTTGCGCCCAGCTTAGAATAATATGTACTTAGGCTTGGATTTTCTAAATTTTTGTGTCATTTTAATGATGTGACTAGCGCTCTATACTCACTTCTTGCCTAACGCCATCATTCCGTAGACCACACCAGTGCCCATGATCAGGCCACTGCCGAATAAGCTGGCCAATCCAAAGCACAAGATAATGGGCGGAATAG